CACTCTCCTTACAACTACTCTCTCCCTACCCATGTACTCAACCTGCCACTACACCCTTATCACTTCACTCTTCTATCGTTTATATGTTGATTATTATAATTACCGATGTGCCTGTAGGGACCTCGGGGAACTTTTAGAAGCAGCTTTTAAAATTAACAATTTATTTTTTTAACTGACGCTGGTTATTTTAACTTGGTGTGATTGTATTTATTTTGTGCTTTATTCACAATATTTTTTATTGTTTGTTAATTGTTTTAGGTTACTAATTTTTTTATTGTTGTAATTTTTCCTTTGCTGTTCTATTTATTTTTTATTGCCAAAAGAACGAAATGACCCGCTCAAAGTGTTCTTGAAGTTTCAAGACTACCTGCCTACCCTCCTTCCCCTTAGACTTTCCTTCCCTCCTACTCTCCCTCACCCCTTCTTTGTCACCCCTCTCCCCACTTTACACCATATAAAAATTCCAAACTCTGTATACTTTAATTGTAGTCTACACACACCATGTGGTTTTCACTTCACATCAGATATTTAGAAACATTGTTGCACATATCGCTGACTCTAGAATAAGCATAATATTGGTAAGATGAGAGAAAAGATGGAACATTGCCTGTCATATTCCATCACACAGGATGGTTCACATACTACAGGAATGCAGGGAGGAGAAGAGAGAGGTACATGATTAAGGGAGAAGAGGGGAGAGGAAGTGGGAAGGAAGGGGAAGAAAAAAGTGGAGGAGACGGTAGGTATCATTGATACAAACAAACCTTCAAGGACGTGTGCTGCAGGCTGAGTGCTGGGGGCTGAATGCAGGGGCTGGGTACTGGGGGAGGAGCAAAGGAGAGGAAGGTGGAGAAGGAAACAGCTCATAATGGCAGATAATATAAGTTTAGATATAATGAATGTTGACTGGAGCTTTCCGATATATTAAATAATGTTTATACTGTGGGATGATATATATATAATATAGTCAAAAATATGTGGGAAAACATATATTTTAAAACATCTTGTAGCTCACAATCATAAGGGCAAGTTTCCAAACACCTGCTGCCCCTTTTCACCTAGCAGTAAATTGTTAAGGTATTAATTTGTTGACTGATGTGGGTCTGATCTTTGGGAATGACCTAAGGATTTCTTAATTGAAATAAAGCTAACTGCTTGACTTTATTGGGTTATCCTGCGTTATTAACCTAACGGGGTTAATAACTAAGGATAAAGTCTTCATCATCTCGCAAGTTTAATTCCTAGCACCTCAGTGACACGCTCGTTGTTGTATGCAGTGTCTGTTTCTCATCTCTAGCCGTAGGAAAACACATTCTTCCCCTCTCTGTCTATCTTTCTTTGTGACCGAGAAAGCAATACATCCATAATTTGGCAATTTAACTCTAACAACTTATCTTATAACAGGGTTTGTACCTGGATACTACTTAAGTGTACTGAAAAAAACTAGCACACACATGTTCACTACTAGCTTCAGTAATATTCATAATTAACATAAAGGATTTACCAGCAAGAAAACAGAGCTATGTTAACTTGTTTCCAGACTAGGCAAAATAAATACCACTAGGTTTCTGTAAATTTAATACCACTAGGTTTCTGCAACTTGAAATAGAACTAGGTTTTTGCTAGTTACATTAGCTGAGAAGGTTGAGTGGTGCATTCGTGATAAAAGGTTATATACCGGTAAAAACAAGCAACACAGTGGAAGTGGGAGAAAGTAACAATAGGCTTTATCAGAAATACAATGTGACAAAAATATTGAAAGTATCTTATAAGCTGAGAGGTAACTCCTACACATTTGCGCTACATTCAGGTGACCTAAATCTAACGTGACGTGACCTTGCGTGACAAGGCCACACCCACAGCTGACCTTCTGGCTTGCTGCGCTGCTGCTACAGGCAGAAGTTAACTGTTTTTGGTAGCATGTTTCCCATCCTCCCTCCTTAACCGCCTTTGCTTCCGCCTTTTCCCCTTCATTCTCTCTTCTCATCATCCCCTCCCTTGCCAGCGTTACCCCGTATATAACTCTCATGTCTCTGTATTAGACTGATAAAGCCCCTGGTGGTCGAAACATTTCTTAGTAAAGATACCCCAGATGACGTACATGTCTCATTCATCAGTTGGTCCTTTAGTAATAAGGACATAACATCAGATGCACACACTAGGACTTTATGAATTTAACTGCAACATGTAATGTGTCCCTGGGGTGTGTCGTGATGGAGTGTCATGCTCCTGGGATGTGTCGTGATAGGTGTGTCGTGCTCTTGGGGTGTATCGTGTTCCTGGGATGCGTACCGGGAGGGGAGGTGGTAGCAGCAGCGTGGCCTACACTTCGAGAGAGTATTGAGGTGGGTGGGTGCATGGCTACAGGCTCCTCCCCTTGGTGAATCAATAGGCTTCTATCCTGTACGCAGACGGCCTCTTCCCCTCGCCTGGATAGGATCTCCCTTACCCCAAGATAGGACAAAATTTGCTTTACTTTCCAGGATAAAACTTGAAAGTCTTCCTTAGTTCTGTTGGTGCTACTGCTGTTGCTGATACTTCAAGATAACTTTTTGCAATGTTGTGGCGTCCTCCAACCCGGTGAGTATGAGGCTGTAGGGTACATGATCACCTGTGTTACTTGCAGGGGTTAAGTCGTAGTTCCTGGCCCCGTCTGTTAACTAATACTATTACTATGTGACCCGATCATAAATACTCCTGAAACTGTTCATAGTGTTTACCTCGTTCCTTTGTTTATTCAGGGCTTCCAATTAGTGAAGCCTTTCTTGCCATGGCTTACTCGAGGTGTCTTGGAAACCTCTTGTTTTGATTTAAATTCATAACTGGAGCTTAGGAGGAAATGGTTAGACTTTGTGATGTAAACTGGGGAAACGTGAGGATGCTTATAATAACCGTGCAGTGGTGTGCAGGACACTTCACACAAATTGACGGGCGTACTTGGCAGGCAACATAAAGCTTTACTCTGTAGAGATAATATACTTATTGTACCAGCAAGGGCGGTGACCTGAATCTGACTTAAAGATTTTAACATTAATATTTTTTTTTAATTGACGCTAGTTATTTTAACTTGGTGTGATAGTGTGTGTTGAGTGCTTATGTTGGTTACTTTTATTGTTGATATTTTTTTCCTTCTTTTATGTGTTGCATGTATTTCTTTCATGACTGTGAGCGCAGAGTAACCGACGCGGTCAGTGTTCCATAGATATCAAAACTATTACTAGCGAGGCCTGGTCGTGGACCGGGCCGCGGGGGCGTTGATCCCCGGAATACCCTCCAGGTAGACTCCTGGTAGGTAGGTAGGTAAGGTAGGTAGACTACTACTATCTGGATCCGACAAAGTAGGCAACCCCGATAAATAACCGTGATTACTGAGCAACTGAAAAAAATCACAAATCTATTACTTTAAACATTTCCTGGAAATATGACACTAACGATAACAGGAATAAGAATTTTAAGTTAGTGTGTCCCTATACCACACCTGAAAGTTGTTTCAAAACATGTAGAACCGAGATGGTCATCTGCTTCCATACTAGTGTGGCTATACTTGTAATGAATATTAAGGTCAGTCCAACACTAGTGTAGCAACACCTGTAATGACTATCAAGATCAGTACAGAAGCTTAAGTAGTCACCAACACTAGTGTGGCTACACTTGTAATAACTGTCAAGGTCAGTGCAGTGGCTTGGGTAGTCAACATTAGTAAGGCTACCTGTAATGCCTCAAGGTCAGTACACAAGCCCGGGTGGTCACCAACAATGGTGAACCACCTGTAGTGACTGCTCTAGTAGTTTCCCGAGGTTAGGGAGTTGTTGAGCTCTAGCTGCTGATCTCTTTCATCCAGCTAATGTGAGTATCTTGTCGTGTATATTTTAATCTGCTTCCATTGATATTGGTCAGCTCAATCAAGTTCATCATAATTCTCATGTTGACTTTTTCTATATTCCTTTGGCTCATTTGGATGTGTAAGTTGTAACATGTCCTTGGTACTAGTTTCTTCTCAGATGAGATTATCCATGCCTCAGAGTATTTTTGTATGTCATGAGCATATCTCCCCTTGTAAACATAGCTCTAACTCCCATTTTACATGGTTAGCTCCGCCCACTTCACCAATCTCACGCCTTTGGGTTTTCTCAAGTTTCGGTTCGTTTTAAACGAGGTTTTGGGCTTTAAATTATATTGAAGAGTTTTTACACGGGTAGACTTCAGACTTTCAGATTTAAGCCAAGGAGACTTTTTAGGTCTCATAATTACTCTGCTTGCTATGGATGTCTTCAGCTGTAAACTTGAAGTGAGGCGTCCGTACAGGTGCTGTTTGCTTCTGCATGGTTCGCACGTAGGAAGCAGTGTTTAGCCTCCTGAATGTCACTCTTAATTAAGTTAATCTTAATTGTTCTGCTGCTAGTGTGTGTGTGTTTCAGGAATCAGGATATTCTAAGCCTCTTTCAATTATTTCAGTGACCTTTTAATTTCAAGATTATACTGTTTTCGAAGGTCCCTGACCGGGGCTGCGAGGTAGAAAAAATTCTCGAAACCTGTCACAGGTATATCACAAAGTCAAAGATAGTTCATATCTGGCGTGTCATTGTGGTTAATATTTGGTGAATCATTGTATTTTATATTTGGCGAGTGAGTCAGTCAGTCTTTTACCAGTATGTTTGGTGAGTCAGTGTTTGTATTTCATATTTGGTAAGTGAGTCATTGTATTTCACATTGGTTGCACTGAATCTCGGGTTATCAATGAGTGTTTAGTGACGCTCAAGATAATATTTTTTTTTACGTTTGTGTGAGAACCATGTCAGTTATATGGGAATATTTTTTTTTCGTTGTGTGAGAACCCTGTAAATCATACCGGACACATGTCGTTTGTGTGAGATACATGTCAAATATGTTGAGTAATTGAAACTTCAGATCACTTCCACGGATACTTGGCATGTTCTTTCCCTGGCTTTTCTGAACACTGAACTATTGTTGACTTGAGTGTTTCTTCTTTTGTCCCACAGATGTCGGGCGAATCTGGGGAGGGAGGCCCCGGTGGCGGTAGCGGCGAGGTTATGGACTTCCAAAACCGTATCAAAAGATTTCAACAAGACCAGCAGTTTAACCAACAACAGGTTAGTAAATACAACGTATTTAGTTCCGGGGTGGGGTGGGGTACGGCAGACCAGTGACGCCACCGACAGGTTATCAAAGCATCACGAACATGTTATCAATACGTCACCAACATGTTATCAATACGTCGCTAACGGGTTATTTTCATGTCATTTACAGATTATCATCATGCCATCAGCAAGTTACCATACTTGATAATATTGTTAGTATAAATTACTTAGCGCTGTGAGGGCTGTATCTATTAGGTATCCTCATGGAGTAAAGGATGCTGGGGCGAGGCCTCATGTCCGCCATCATTTGTACACATTAGGAAACACAGGTGGAGATGATGACGAGGAGGAACTAAGGCAGGAGGATACGCCTTTTTATTTTGTTGTTGTTGATTGTTTTACATGGCTAGTCAAAGCCAGACAACTAGAACACACGTTAGTCATACTGGAAGATATACACTGTCCCATACATATTATTGTTGGTGTCTCCCCACAATGTACCAACATAGGTAGAGAACACCTAACATTTGCAATATAGTATTAATGTTGGTGTCTTATTTTACACAATACACCAACATGGGCAGAAAACACTCAAGATACTATAACATCACTACATCTGCATCTCTATAACCACCCTGAGGTTTTGTAAGGACATACTTTAGCAGCAGATTAAGGTAGACATTTGGTGGTGATGTGTGAGGGAAGGGTGGGGTGACGGAGGGAGGGAGAGAAGGAAGGAAGGAGGGAGGGAAGGAAGGAAGGTGGAAGCCCCAGTCATATCTCTCACCTGGTCATTCATTAGTCATCACACCAGGTGAGTAATTCCCATGATGTTTGCTCTCCTTTTGTGGACTAATATATTTTTCCTGTGGGCAGAGGTTGTGTATCTTAACTTAATACAACATTAAGATAAGATGATTGTTGTTGTTGTGATGTATTATTAGTTTAGTACAACATTAAGATGATTGTTGTTGTTGTGATGTATTATTAGTTTAGTACAACATTAAGGTAAGGTGATTGTTGTTGTTGTGATGTATTATTAGTTTAGTACAACATTAAGGTAAGATGAGTGTTGTTGTTGTGATATTAGTTTAGTACAACATTAAGGTAAGGTGAGTGTTGTTGTTGTGATGTATTATTAGTTTAGTACAACATTAAGGTAAGGTGAGTGTTGTTGTTGTGATGTATTATTAGTTTAGTACAACATTAAGATGATTGTTGTTGTTGTGATGTATTATTAGTTTAGTACAACATTAAGGTAAGATAAGTGTTGTTGTTGTGATGTATTATTAGTTTAGTACAACATTAAGGTAAGATGAGTGTTGTTGTTGTGATATTAGTTTAGTACAACATTAAGGTAAGGTGAGTGTTGTTGTTGTGATGTATTATTAGTTTAGTACAACATTAAGGTAAGATGAGTGTTGTTGTTGTGATGTATTATTAGTTTAGTACAACATTAAGGTAAGATGAGTGTTGTTGCAGTGATGTACTGTTAGTTTAATACAACGTTAAAGTAGGAAGATTTACCAAAGGGAGACGTTAAATATTTGTTGTTATAGCTAGGAAAATATTTGTATATCTGGGTGATAGAGTAGACAGAAAATAGGGTTTGTGGTTACGTATTACGATAATGTATTGCGAGGTGTGAATTAATATAGTTGTGTATGTCGTAGGACTCCAGGGAGCAGATAATGGTACGAGACGTGGTCTCTGGTTTTCCGAAAGCCGGACTCGACCATTGACAGACAAGAGACGTTTGTGGAGTCAGTGGTATAATATAATGGTAGAGTCAACGTGCTGTCTTTTTCGTTTGACACAACCAATGACAGACAAAAGACGTTTGCGGAATATCTCTGCTGACTCAACCATTGACGTCACTAAGCGTCACACTCCACCCATCTTAACACTAGTGACCGTACATATATGCACGCTTCCTGCTTATATTCGGCCACCTCATTGCCAGATTGCAGCGTTTTTTCCCTCTTGATTTACGTGTTGTGGTTAAATTATTTTTTTTTTACGGGTGTCATAACGTAATTTAGAATAAAGAAGATAATATTTGTAAGCTTGCTTGAAACTGTTAGAAATTGACGATTAGAACCTTGTATGGAAATTAGTATGGGCCAGCAACAGCCTGGCTGATCTGGCACATTAACACATTGCCTAGAAGTGAACTAGCTATGTTGAAGACAGAATAGATTTTATTGGAACAACGTTTCGCTCTGTGTTGAGCTTTATAATGTTCTACACAGCGAAACGGCTTCCTAATAAAAGCTTGGTCTGCATACGTTTTACACAACCTGTCAGTGGTGGTAATTTTAATGGTAGTAATGGGGTTTATCAAGTCTTCATAAAAAGCCTACTTTCAGTAAAACGTATTAATGAAAAGTTTCATTGAGGCAGTTTCTTCTTACCACGAGTCGTCGGCTCGGTCATATGTTGACATACATTGTAGGTAAAAGGACACGCATGCAATTACCGCGTCATTTTTAGTGTGGCATTTGTTTCGCTCTCCAGGTGCTTTGTCAAGCTATTACAAACACTATGTATAAGAAAACAGTGAGATGTAAAGAATAACATAATCACTGTATTAGGATAACCGTCCCACGCTATAGGTGGTAGTAGTAGTAGTAGTTGTTTACACACCTGAACCTCGCGCGCTTAAGCCTGTTATTTAACATAAACATTTCGCTCTCACTGAAGCTTTGGCTTTACAAAGTTCCATCGATAACGAAGCGTAGCACATCGATCAGGCTGTGATGGATATATGGACCAGCTACAGGAACAGACTTGTTGAATAGACACTCCACGAGGAAGCTTGGACAACGTCCGGGGTGGTATGATAGAATAGCCTCAGATATAGTTCATGGGCATGCCTTAAATTCACTATCTATCGGCTTGTGGCCAACTTTTATACCCCATCCCCGTGGGCATGACGCCAGTACATCCAGAACTGTGGTGATGATACCGGTACAGCCAGAACTGTGGTGATGACGCCAGTACAGCCAGAACTGTGGTGATGACGCCAGTACAATCAGAACTGTGGTGATGACGCCAGTACAATCAGAACTGTGGTGATGACGCCAGTACAGTCAGAGCTGTGGTGTTGACGCCGGTACAACCAGAATAAACTGTTTTCTCTCCGGTGGAATCAGGTTGTGGTTTACAGGGATACATTATTATTCCTAAGAATGTTGATCATTCGCACAAACATGTCAGCAAGCAACTTTTAATGAGTATACGTAAAGAAATTTTATAAAGTATAGAAAGATAGTATACGTAAAGAAATTGTATGTAGAGAGTATTTGACATTGTGTGTGGATCGCACATCCCAGAACTTGAGTGGAATAATATTAGGTACAAAGAGACAATTAACACCGTCTGCGTGTCTCTGTTTACTTTCCAAGAAAATGTTTTAATGAATATAAAGGTGAATGTCCTCGTGGGTTGACACTGTTGCTTCCTCAAACTCTCGGTTCTGTAGTGCCCACTGTGACCCCATGTAGGATCCACTGTACCTGTGACCCATGTAGGATCCACTGTACCTGTGACCCATGTAGGACCCAATTAGGATGCCTTGGACATGACATGTCTGGCGCATTAGGTTGTGTTGATACAAGGCACTTGCTAGGTGGGTCAACACATTCTCATTTTATTTTGTAGATGTTTTGATCGGGCAGAAATCCACAAGTTAGAATGCATTCGAAAACTGCCGTCCCTTTGGGGGGGGAAGGTTGCTGAATGTAGTGAGAGGGAGGAGTCAACCACCTTGCAATAGCACATGCAAGAGAGCCAACTTTCTGTTGTAGAGTTGATAAAGATCTGTGCAGGGTGAAACGTGATGTAATGACAAGGTTGGATCTTTTTGCATGTGTTCTACAATACTAAGTAGTTTTGTGGAGACGCGGCGGTGTTGGTGGGCCCCACAGACGAGCAGCATGCTGGTGAGGGGAGACAAATGCAACCTTCTCTGACGATGTTTCGCCTACATAATGGAACTTTATCAAATCAAACAGAGCAGCAAGACTTGGAAAGTCTGGAGCTCCTGTTACAGGGATCGTCACTATTTAGTTTGTGACGCGAGTCTTTATTGCAGTATTCCCAGAAATTATTCTTTCCAAATAAGGGGAGATTGATTGGTTGAAGTCCTTAACCAGGACTCCCAGGAAGCCGCCATGACGTCTTTCTTGTTCATCTTTGCTATCCTCCTTAAAGCACTGCATTTCTTTAACACTTAAATATGTATTTTCGCTAGAAGCGCTTTGTGTGTGTGTGTGTGTGTGTGTGTGTGTGTGTGTGTGTGTGTGTGTGTGTTGTGTGTGTCCCGGCGACCTTGAGTGTACAGATGAGCACCCACATTTAACAAAGTATGGGGAAGAGTGAGGTTTGTTTTAGCAATACCCAGAAATGTTTGTGCCTCACGCACTGACTGCTATCCTGAAACCATTCCTTTTCCTACCGTCGCCCATCTTCCTAGCACCGCCCCCACTTCCTAGCACAGCCCCTCTTCCTAGCACAGCCCCTCTTCCTAGCACAGACCCTCTTCCTAACACAGACCCTCTTCCTAGCACCGCCTTTTTCCTAACATCGCCATCTTCCTAACAACGTCTCATTCATATACCGCTCCTTTTTGTATATTGTCTTCTATGTCATATCAGGACTGGGAGAACTACCCCTCCGCCTCCAGGTATGCAACATTTTCCTCCTATTTAGACTCCACTTAATTTTACAAATCAATATCCTGGGACATAAACTAGGAAAATGATAAACCAGTTTATAAAACAATTATTTACTACGTTAATTTTGTTAATAAAGTATGTGGAATATTCAGATACTAGGCTACCGAGAGGGGGTCACTACAGTGGTCCATTACCGCTAAAAAATGGGAATATAAAATATGCTGACAGTGCTTACAAATCTGGTTTGTTTATAAACCACCAAGTCCTTTGGCACTAAATTCAGAAGTGGCTTCACCCTCTGAAATAGATCTTGCTAGGCCACTCCCGGCCAGC